AACCCGAGGAAATCTCCCACTATGTGAGAGCTTGTGTTTTTTGGGATGTACCCAGTACCCAGATCCTGCGATCTCATCTACCAAACAGATGACGACAATGCGCTCCGGGGCGTCGATCATTACGCGTGGGAGAGGGAGTACATCCTCGCTGTTGCGCTGAGCAATGGGCGCTACGGTTTGTTAAGTCCGAAGGAGACCCCTTCGCCGTCATCAGTGGCTAGGCGGATCTCGGCAGCGACACCGTATAGAGATTCCTCCGGCCGAGGTGTGGCTCAGGAGGCCTAAGTGGCTCATGCGCTCGGCTTGTTTACGTTTCGCATTCGCGATACCGAGAGTGAGTTGGTCTATTTGCGGTGGCGTTTTTGATTCAGACTCTGCAGAAGCCTAGTTCCAGCTGAACAAGTGAGCTGACCTACAGCATGAGTCGCTGAGTTATTTGTGAGCATGTGTTTGGTACCCCGCGATTAATCCGACATATTCGATGACAAAGTCGTGGCGGAGGCGCAAGCCAAGATGGCGGGACATGCCTGACGTCAAGCCACAGACGACACTGAGGGGCTAGAGCATTTGCAAGACAGCTGAGGAACGCAGACGGACTTAGTTGAGAGATGGTGACAGGGCAGCCGTTGACGCTCAGTTGCGGTAGGAGTAGAAGCGTGGTGAGGCTGAGCAATGCCAGGGCCTAGCCAAACCTTAGGGCGCTAGCGAGATCGACCGAGCCGTTTAGGCAGTCTCCACTCCGTGTGTTCCGGAGCGATCCACACCGGATTTTCCTTGTCTCCTGGAGTCCATCACCACAGGATTAGCAACAGTTGTGCTAGATCGTCGATTATCCCGCCAGCGCACAGCAGTGCATCGTGGGGTGACCCTGGGAACAAATCCCATCTAGCGACTATCGATAGTGTTGAGACGCACAAACGCCATCCAAAGTGTTGATCAGGCAGACGAAGAGCAAGGCCGTAACATCAGACTGCGAAGACGACAAGGGGTCCAGTATGAGGTTACTCGCCATATACCGTCAGAACCGGTCTTCGGCCCAGAAAGATGGCCGAGCAGCGTATACACCGGTGTACAAGCGGGTACGCGAGATCTGCCGGGCACCAGCCAAGAGAGGGTAGGGGATTCGGGCCCCTGAGAGTCCCACGGTACGCAGCGACTCCCTGCATGACCTCTGCGACGTCCATCGACAGCATCTTTACGCGAGCATCCACATCGTCACATCTCCAGAGAATGAAGATGGCTAGCTCAGCAATCTAGCTCCTGGCCGAAGAAACTCAGATTCCGACTGCGCTCACGTGCCTCGCATCGCCGCGGGGGCAGAGAAGCATAGTAATGGTGGCATCTCAGCAATCACGGAGCGATCGCGTCTTTACTCGCAATGTGCCATCCATGTGCAAATCGATGCAAGTACCAATGCTTAGCACAAGATCTGAGGAAATCCATCGCGGAGGATCCCCCAACGGGAGTAAACGACGGAACGAACAAAGAAGTCGCTTTAGGCAAGGCTGAAAAGATCAACACCGCTGAAACGTTCACACATACAGTCTACCCCTGATGAGCTGATCGGGACTTCTGCGCGCGCAAGTCTGCTTCCCTGGAGGCGGACTATTGATATGTCCAACAGTAGTCTCTAAGCTAACCGAATAGGTGGGCCTTTAGAACCCTTCGGGACGACGTCGGGATCAAAAATAAACTAAGCTTTCGCTTAGCGATTCGCTTTGACCGTGATGCAAAGCCTCGGGTCGTCGATACCTGCAGCGGCATCATTTCTGGTGTGTCGATCTTTGCTGTAGTACTGTCCTGAAGATTCGTATAGCATCGCATCGCAAAACCATGGCCTTGGGAGATACAGCAAAGCCTTTGACCACGTCATTTCGCGACGAGCTGAGCTGATAAGACTTGCATCTATCAGGTCCAGACTCAGCCTGCCATTGGGCTCTCATTGGTGGCGGCCTCGGTACCTGCATGCGTGCTGCACGTTCCTGGCGTTGGCGACCACGACAGTTCACCCGGAGCTAGGCTAAAGTTTGGTGGACTATTGTTTCCAGGCACTGCCGCCAACTCTTTCAGGAAGACAGGTCGAACTTACCGGCCATGTTTTCGTCTCCACCCATGACATCGATCTCAAATCAGTAGTCAACCACCGAGGTCGACAGGGCATGACTATGTGCCTCTTGTGTATATAAGACCCTCTGGCACACTGGGCAGTAACTCATCATCAGCTCATCAGCATCGGTCCTTCACTACTACAATCTCCTACACTACTTTCGCTACTCTTCTATTCGATCTTTCGATATGCGTTACTCTCTCTTCCTCGGGGCTGCTGCCCTCGTGGCCGCTTCTCCTGCTCCTCAGGCATTCGATGTCAACCAATTCGATTCCATGGCCAACAACCTCGCTCAGGGCCCCAAGGCAGGCGTCGTCAGTGAGCAGGCCTACAACCAGGCCAAGGCTCAGGACGTTGCCGCCGCCGCTGCTACCGGCGCTGCCACTGCTCAGCAGGCAAAGAGGACCGTTGGTGCCCAGCTCGAGGCACGCGACCCTACTTTCTGGTGGAACTGGAACCAGCAGAACAACCCTCCTGCTCCCGCTCCTACCAAGGCTCCTGCTCCTGCCCCCACCGCCGCACCTGCGGAGAACCCATCCTCTACCAACCTTGCACCATCTTCGTGCACACCGGTTAGCTGGACCAACACCTTCGCTTTCACTGCCGACCCAGCCTGTGCTACCCAGATCGAGGTCGGCACCTACTGCGGTTTCATCAACCCTGATGACCCATGTGCTGCTCAGCCCAACGCCTACGGCCCACCTACCACCCCCGACACTGCCGATGCTTTCAAGAACAACGAGGTCTACCACAAGATGGCTACTAGTGCTAAGTCGCCATCTGGCTACACCTCCTCTTTCGTTGACCTCAGCGCTTCCGTAGAGGGCAGCGGTTACCTCGGATACTACGAGCTTACCAGCTATGACACTGCTGCTTGCGCCGCCAAGTGCGACTCTACCTCCACCTGCACTGGCTTCAACCTCTACATTGAGCGTGACCCCAAGTGGAACCCGCGCCAGTGCTCTTGCGACAAGCCCGACTCTGTTACCCGCTTCAAGTGCACTCTTTGGGGACAGGATGTCAAGAAGGAGTCTGCTACCAACGTCGGCCAGGGCCAGGATGGATTCGAGGTCGTGATAGGTAAGTTCTGCCTGTCCGAAATGCATGTGAGACATATACTGACTTCGTACCCCTACTTCTAGTCGGTTCCAATGGTTACAACAAGGGCACCTACAACCCTCCTACTCCTCCTTCTTGCAGCAAGCCCCAATCTTGCGGCCACAAGCTCCACAACCAGCAGCCCTACTGCATGGGTCAGACTACTTTCCCCGGTCCTTTCGATCCTTCTCTCTGCGCTGCCTACGCCCAGAAGCAGAACGAGGTCAACCGCAAGCACGGCATCATTGGCGCATGGCTCTCCATGTTCGGCATGAACAAGGGTGGCTGCGTCCAGTTCCAGGCTGCTTACCTCGAGAAGGACGGCAAGGGTTTCGGTACCCACTGCCGTCTCTTCACCAAGAAGTTCCTTGCCACTCAGGCCAACCTCGACATCAGCGTCGGTGGTACTTCCAAGTGGGGCTGCCAAAAGTCCTTCACCTGGGACGTCGATGTCAACGCCAGCTTCAACTGGGGTGGCTGGTCTTACTTCAAGAACAAGCGCGACGAGTAAACGCTCGCTGCTCTTCCGACAACAACAACGACTTATGTCTGCATCGCATGGGCGCACCAAAATTCGAGATGGTGATGGTTGACGGTGGATATCATGACTAATACTCTTCTTCGTTTCTGTAAATAACTCTTTGGCTTTACATTGAGCATTAGCTCGTCGCATAGTCACTCCTTAGTATGATTTTAGCATCTTGGTAGTTGTAATGTAACAATATGTGCTCTTTGAACTTGTCTTCTTCTGCCTATTGAAGTATCGTCCCGATCGAATCAACTCATCTACTAGGCTTGCTCAAAAGATCCCAATCGATCGTACGACGATCTTGACGGCGGAGCTCGAACAGTCAACCCTGTGCATTTGAAGACCCTTCCACGTGTGGGCGTCGCTCGCCTAAACAGGTCTGCAGCTTACATCGAGATGCACACACGCAAAGTGAATGATCTGAAGCCAACGTAAGCTTCAGGGTGTTATGTTTTTGTTTTCTTGAACGAGGTGCTAACAGGATGCGGTGGTGGACGGAACCAAAGACACCAAGCGCGCTTCGAACGGAAGATAGACCAAACGGTCGGAACTGTGCCCCACAGCGCGTGATCGCCTGGCACGAGCGGGGAACCTTCACCCATCTTCCGTGAGAGGACAACGTTCTGAACAAAGACCCGTAACGTCCTGAATTGTAAACTTTATTGTCAAGCAACCAAGACGCACCTTTTTTCGCTTTGAAACCGTCGCGAACGCATGAAGAGGAGAGAAATCCATTATAACATATCTCGTGGACTCGTGCATCCTGGGCTGGGTTCATGCACGGCAGAGTGGAGGAGTGCGGGGAAGCGCTGCGCGGTCGTGTTTAATTCGGCAGAACACAAACACGAGAAAGGGAAACGCGGCCCAAAGGTACCGCCTTATTGTACCACCATGTCTCGCAAACCGTGGCACTTGTGGTGCTCACTCACACTGCATTCTGGCCTTCGTTCAGCTGCTAGCCGTGCCTTCTTTCGGAACAACTTTGGAAATCGCCAACAGATGCGGGTTCCCAGCTTCTCCCTTTGCTCGTTTTCATTCGAGACAGCATGAATCCTTCTCTGAACTGTCTCGCTGGCCGTAGGGCGCTTGCCCTTCGCCCGCAGCGGGGCAGCTTACTTGCTACGCTGAAGCAGTGTGCTGTCACCTCTTGTCTGAAAGCAACACCTCTGCTGGGACGTGGTGATCGTTCTCCAAAACATACTTTGACTACAACAAGCCTTCGGGGACTTAGCCGCCCGCACCTACCCGCGCTGTCCCTGCAGCACCATGTCTCGCAGGTTACCGCTGTCGCGCGGTATGTATCCGGGCAGGCATCGGATCCGCACGACGAGGAGCTACCTAGCACCCCGCCGTTCACCGCAGGTCCTTATTCCAACCTCACTATTGGAGTACCCAAGGAAAGCTATCCTGGCGAACGAAGGGTCGCGATTACGCCACAGGTATAGTCTCCTCTCACATTCGCTGTGTTTGAGACACATCCTTACTTGATAACCTTATTTTGCAGAACGTGAAACTTTTACTCAAGAAAGGCTTCTCGCGCATTCTCATCGAGCGTGGAGCTGGAAGTGCTGCGCAGTTTACGGATGAAGCGCTTGAGCAAGCTGGCGCGCAGACAGTCGATCGCAGGAATGTTTTCTCGGAGAGTGACATCCTGCTCAAGGTCCGGGCCCTTAGTATCGATGGAAAAGATAGCGAAGTGGATGCCATCCGAGAGGGCGCTACCGTCATCTCAATGCTGTATCCGATGCAGAACAAGCCGACCGTTGATCGAATTGCTTCCCGCAAGGCCACTGCATTCGCAATGGACATGATCCCGCGTATCTCACGAGCGCAAGTTTTCGATGCACTGTCGTCAATGGCGAACATTGCTGGTTACAAAGCCGTCCTGGAAGCTTCCAATACCTTTGGTCGCTTCTTGACTGGCCAAGTGACTGCTGCTGGAAAGGTGATCGTCACTTCATCCAGTTCAGACCCCTGCTAAACGTTGCTAGATCCCTCCTTGCAAGGTCCTCGTAATCGGTGCCGGGGTCGCCGGACTCAGCGCGATTGCTACGGTAAGTGCAACACTTTCCTGGATTCATGCAATCTCACTAAAGTCGGCGCCAGGCTCGACGTATGGGTGCCATTGTTCGTGGTTTCGACACTAGGTCTGCAGCACGTGAGCAGGTCCAATCCTTAGGTGCAGAGTTCATCGAAGTCGACATCGCCGAAGACGGCTCCGGAGCTGGTGGCTATGCCAAAGTCATGTCCAAGGAGTTCATCGAGGCGGAGATGAAACTATTCTATGACCAGTGCCGAGAGGTCGATATCGTCATTACCACTGCTCTAATCCCAGGCAAGCCCGCACCGAAGCTTATCACCAAGGCCATGCTCGGCGCAATGAAACCCGGCTCCGTCATCGTGGATCTAGCGGCTGAAGCTGGCGGTAATTGTGAAGCTACTCAGCCGGGAAAGCTGGTGGACTACAAAGGAGTATCCGTTATAGGTATGTTTTTGTGACTCCCTCATGTGATCCAACATTGACCGCGAGTGCAGGATACACCGATCTTCCATCCCGTCTACCCACCCAGTCGTCAACTCTGTACTCCAACAACGTCACCAAATTTCTGCTTTCGCTCACCCCAAAAGACAAGAAGGAGAAGTACTACGATGTCGATCTCACTGACGAAGTCACTCGCGGAGCCATTGTCACCTACAACGGCAAAATTCTTCCTCCAGCTCCACGTCCGGCCCCTCCACCAGTTCAAGCCAAGCCTGCACCTTCACCCGCCGATCAAGTCGCGAACGCTGTTGCCCTGACACCATGGCAAGTACAGTCTCGACAGGTAGCTAGTGTAACGGCTGGAATGACTGCTGCTCTCACTCTGGGCAAATTCACGGGCCCAGTTTTCATGTCTAATTTTTTCACTTTCGCATTAGCCAGTCTTATCGGATACCGAGGGTAAAGTAGCCGCCAGGAATAGTTTTAAGAATATCTTGCTAACTTCTTACTAGTATGTATCTCTCTTACTACGCCTTGGCTGCGCAGCGATTAGAGCCGTTCTAGGATATATTACTACTGTTCGAGCTAACAACTTGATAGTGGTCTGGGGCGTTGCACCTGCCTTGCACTCTCCGCTCATGAGCGTAACGAACGCCATCTCTGGTATCATCGGAGTTGGTGGCCTGTACGCTATGGGTGGCGGCTATCTGCCCGAGACCATCCCGCAAACCCTCGGAGCCCTGTCGGTTCTATTGGCCTTCGTTAACATCTCGGGTGGTTTCGTTATATCCAAGCGTATGCTTGATATGTTCAGACGACCTACTGATCCCAAAGAGTATTCCTGGCTTTATGCAGTACCCGCAGCTCTGTTTGGCGGCGGTTTCATCGCAGCAGCTTCCACTGGCATGGCAGGTCTGGTCCAAGCAGGTTACCTTGTCAGTAGTGTTCTCTGCGTGACCTCGTTATCAGGACTTGCGTCGCAGACAACAGGTAAGGCACGACTGTACGAAATGTATGTGAGACGTTTACTGACTTCGTACCACTATGCAGCTCGTCGCGGCAATTTCTTGGGCATACTTGGTGTTTTCTCAGGTTTTCTCGCATCCCTGGCTGCAGTCGGTTTTTCTTCTGATGTTCTCACCCAGTTCGCCGGTCTCGCTACGGTGGGTACTGTTGCTGGTCTAATGATCGGACGGAGGATCACGCCTACCTCGCTGCCCCAGACGGTCGCGGCACTGCATTCGGTCGTCGGTCTCGCTGCTGTACTCACGAGTATCGGTAGCGTCCTGGGTCACTCTGGAGACATCTCCACCCTTCATATGGTTTCAGCCTACCTTGGTGTTCTCATCGGTGGCGTTACATTTACCGGATCGATTGTCGCTTTTCTCAAGCTAGCTGCGAAGATGAGTTCGAAACCTCTGGCGCTGCCTGGCCGACATCTCATCAACAGCACATTGCTTGGAGCAAACGTAGCAACCATGGGCGCCTTCTTGACCTATGCGCCAGGCGCACCTCTCATTGGCGCTGCATGTCTCGTTGGCAATGCGGCTCTGTCCTTTGTCAAAGGCTACACGACCACTGCTGCAATTGGCGGAGCAGATATGCCAGTTGTTATCACAGTACTCAACGCATATTCCGGGTTCGCATTAGTAGCCGAGGGATTCATGCTGGATAACCCACTCCTAACAAGTGTTGGTAAGTCCTGGCTGTACGAAATGCATGTGAGACATATACTGACTTCACACCTCTTTCTCTGCAGGTGCCCTCATCGGGGTATCCGGCTCAATTCTCTCATATATCATGTGCGTTGCCATGAACCGAAGCCTCACCAACGTCCTCTTCGGCGGCATAGCCCCCACAGTCCAATCCCAGACCAAGGTCGAGGGCGAGATAACCAAGACCACATCAGAAGAAACAGCTGAAGCTCTCGTCAACGCAGAAAACGTCATCATCGTCGTCGGTTATGGCATGGCCGTGTCGAAAGCGCAGTACGCACTCGCCGACTTTGTCAAAAGCCTGCGTGCGAAAGGCATCAACGTGCGCTTTGCCATTCACCCAGTCGCAGGCCGCATGCCAGGACAATGCAACGTGCTCCTCGCCGAAGCATCCGTCCCCTACGACATTGTCCTCGAGATGGATGAGATCAATGACGACTTCCCGGAGACAGATGTCACACTTGTTATCGGCGCAAACGACACCGTTAATCCCATCGCGCTGGAACCTGGTAGTGCCATTGCGGGTATGCCGGTGCTGCATGCGTGGAAGAGCAAGCAGGTTGTTATTATGAAGAGGGGCATGGCGAGTGGATACGCGGATGTGCCCAATCCGATGTTCTTCATGGAGAATACGAAGATGTTGTTTGGCGATGCTAATGAGAGCTGCAACGGTAAGTCATCGCGTGGGCTGATTGATGTTCAAAATTTTGCTAACAAGACTTTAGCTATCAAACGTGCACTAGAGGAGAAGATTAAGGGGCTGTAGATAGACTTCGCATGGATGATTGAAGTGCTTGCATTATCGTTCGTGATCCATAGATGATGCTTTCCAAGAGAGTGCCTGCATAGTTCATCGTAGCAAAGATAGTTCTGTCGCGGAAATTACGCTCGTTGAAAGCAGCGTGTTCTTCTTTGCGTCTGCAGGATTCAATAGTTCGCATCCAGACCCACGACGAGAATTCGATGAAGAGCGGGGCAAACACACCCCTGTCAGCCACGCGCTGCAACGCGTCCAACGGCAGAGCGCGACCCATGCCGATGACGTAAATTGGGATCCATGTACCACGCATCCAACCTTGGAAGTCTATGAAACCTGCAAAGCGCAGTCTTGTGGTAATAACGACTTGTGAAGCTTCCCACATCATTCCATACCACACACGCGCATTGTGAATAGATTATCGTATATACACCAACCAACAAACATACCAGACAACAAGAACACAACAACAGCAACAATGTCCCTCCCCCTCCTCTTCACGATCCCGCCCTCGAACCGCCATGAATTCCTCCTGCTCGACACGTCCTCCAAGATTACGTTGAAGTCGCTCAACGCGCAGATCACGTCTACAATCTCTTCGAGCCCCAACTGCGCCGAATGTACGTCGAACAACGCTTCACAGATAGCCTGGAGATATCGCTAACATCTGAAACCACAGTCATGGCGAAGCACAAGGCCGCCGACGGACCCAAAGAGACGATCCAAGAGTTCAGAATACACTGGGATACCAAGACGCGGGATGGCAAGATCTGGCCCGAGTACACTGTCGTGACGGATGAGAACTTCCCGGCGATATTGGAGTTGTTAAAGGCGAATCCCGTCATGGGCGTACTGGAGATTAAGCTGGGTAGTTCGGAGTAGATTAGAGTAGGTTAGGACAAGATACAAATTCACAGGATAATTCATGACGATGAGACAAAGACACTGCAGTTGTTTGAGAATCTCGTCTTCGTATACATTAGGATGCGACGACGGGAGCATTGCTCTAGCCTAGTCGTGGTTCGTTACACCCGAAGTATACATACATAAGAAAAGCTTCGATACATACAGCGTCGAAGTAATGTGAAAGGAGAGTGCGCCAACAGGTAGTCCGGCGTCGAAAGCCAAGTGGAGGGTATCCGTAAATAACCGATGAAAACGCCAATGTATAAAGAAAATGCCGCTGGTATGCCATACCCATTGGGCTCATGCAACATGTGATGAATGCGCCGTGTTTGTAAAAGAAAATCAAGTGAGCCGTACGCCGCCGCCGAGATCGAGAGCTGTGCGATCCTTGTGTCACTTTGGCGACTTATCCGTTGGCTCAGTGATCATCTGCTGCCAATGCACCAGATCCCGACTCAAGAAGTCCATCATCTGGGTAGTGCTCAAGTTCTTGAACTTCGCCAGGTCTGTGTCCTCGTCCTTCTGCTGCTCTTGGGCCGGCTCGCCGTTTGCCGGTTGGACTGCCGGAGCGAGGCTTCCATGTTTCTCCCCTGTAGCCATCTCGACCTGTCGTTGAGCTATGTAGCTCTGCATAGCTCCAGCTGGCCTTCGTATATCATTCCAGGAAAGTTTCTGCAGCCGCCAATTTTTCGTCTTGGTAGGTTTCTGCCCAGCTGTTCCATCGCTGCTATCATGCCCATTGCTTGCTCCGTTTGTCATGTTTGTTTGTGGGGATTGTGCAATGTCGTTCTTGGGTGAAGTGCCATTGGTCGCGGGCATGGTGTCTCTTGAGTACTGATTCCGCCCAAGTCGACCACGAGCTTTTTGTGGTGGACGTCCACCTCTCCGTGGGGCAGGCGCAGGCTTAGGTTCTGCGACGGGGGTATCGGGGATTGTAGGCTCGGTCGCTATTGGGGCCATAACGGGCTCTTCGATGGTAGGGGCAGGTGTGGGCTCGGGTTCCTCTGTATCTAGCGACTGTCAGTCAAAGCCTTACTCCACTAAGCACAATTCATACCGTCTCCCTTTCTTCGTTCTGCACGACCTTTCCGTCGATTCGCGGCGTCGTTTCGGTGACTTTCGCGCTCCTTCTCGCGTTGTTCTTTTTCGCGTTGACTCTTTGCTGCAGCACCGCGAGGTTTTTGCTTCGGAGCAGATGCTTTTGTACTATCGTCCTCCGATTCTATCACAGGCGAATTGCTAGGGGAGCGAGAGCCGGTCCGTTGTCGTTTGATCTCTGGCTTTGTCCTGTAGATTGTCAGCTACATGTTCCTAGCGGCACATGGAGCAGCAAGCAAGACTCACTCTTCGCTGTCGTCGCGACTCCGCTTCTTTCGATTGCCGTTCTCTGAGGCTGTACCGCCCTCATGCTTGCTTTCTTCGAGTACCTTGCGGAGCACCTCGTCTTCGTCGTAGGCAGCTCGACTGTTCATGGTCGACCGACGCTTGCCAAAGGAATCCACACTCGCCCTATTGTTGCGATCCTTGTCCTTGCCTGGGTGTCCATCTGACTCCTTGGAAACAGAAGATTTGCGGTTCTTGCCGTGCTGTTGGTCGTAGACGGGGAGGTATCGGGAGTACTTTTGACTACAATGGCAAACTCGTTAGCTCTCCGCAAATAGTAAAGCAGTGGTCGCGCAAAGGAGAAAGCCTAGGACTTGGGACCAAAGGCAGGGAAACACGTAGCGGGGTACGAAGCTCAAATGAGAGCGCCGATAAAGACAAGCACGTACCCTTTCGGACTTGTTGTGACCTTGTGGAGGTCCTTCCTGCACTCCTCGCAGAAATACTCGTCTGGACTGGCAGCTTCGTCCATGATGCCTACACAGCCTCCGTGTTGCCAGACCTTGCAGACGTCGCACTGAATGAACAGTCCGCCAAGTTCATCGGCTTGGACATCTGGGTCCGCGAGAGCAGACATGGACTTGGGAGTGTCGGATGGCGGGCCCGGGTACTCCTGGTAGCCACACACGCATCGGGTGACCTCATCCTCCTCTGCGATGTCGTCTTCGAGCTCGTCGTCGAGCTTCGCCGACTCATCCTCGTCATTGTCGTGCTCGCGTGTTCGTCGGCGTGTCAGAGGCGGCTCGGGCTGCACACCGTGAGGCGCTTCTTCGGGCTCTTCCGAGGAGAGCGAGTGTGGGGTCGACGACTTTGGCGGCGATGTCTGTTTGGGATTGACTCTGGATGCACGATCGGTACGCGCTGATGAGACGGAGGATGAGGAGTTGCTGTGCGTTGCGACGCTGGGTGGGGGCTGGGTGGTGCGAGCCCGCGATGACCGTCGCGGCGACATTGTTCCTGTAGCTGTCGCTATCGGTAAATACAATAGCAGTGCAGTATATGGGCGAGGGCGATGCTGGCGAGCTGGGTGGTGTCGGATGCGCTTGGAAGGGTGGCCGGCCGAACGAGGTCAGAGGCGGGAGGAAGGACTAGAAGGACGCGGTAGTGGACCGTGACGTGACGGAAGCGATGCAAGTCAATGGCAAGGGCGTCGCTATCGCGCAATGACGACGCTCTCGTCGGCGACAGTGGTGTCTGCTGGAGCGCAACGGTGACGCTGCAGGTGCGGAGACAGCGGGCCAAAAGCTCCACGAGCTTTAGAGCGCGGCAAGGGAATGGATTGACGACTGGAAAAGAATGCCGAGGTGCGACAGGAACATGATATGGCTTGGAGCGGGCGTCTGGGGAGCTGGACCGGGACAATGCTGTGGGAGTGACCGAGCTGCCAGGACTCGATTTTACTCCTCACGCTCTAGCGGGCGGAACGCGAAATGGAACCCATTGCCCAGGTGGACCAACACGCCAACCGTAGTCCCCGTCACGTGACCTGGGCTCATCCGACCCTTGCACCCTTAGCAGCATTGCGGATCCGTGCGCGTAGAGGGTGTCGACGACTTTGGGGGCGTACAAGGGAGCGAGATGAAATATCTGCGACTTTGATCTGGGTACGTCGAGCGCTTTGGGGAGAATATCGGTGAGGGGCACAAGGTGCTGGCTGGCAGGTTTCGATTCAGAAGTTGCCCAGTGATCCGCAGCCGATGAGGCAGTCGCGCTAGCTCGCTTCGCGCGAGGGGTCCCACCGCCTGCGTGCATTGCCACTGGCCCTTGATTCACGCGAAACACATCATTACCGCTTGAGCGCCTGTCACAACACCTCACTGAAGGGAGAAACTGCGCATATCGACGCCCCATGTTCATATTCGCTCATTGTTGTCATACTGTAGATTGCAGGCCTCTTCAGCTTTTTCGCTGTATGAGTTGAGAACACAAGAGGAGCGGATCAGTCAAGCTCGGGAACAACACATCAACACTATTGAAAGGGTATTAAACTTCATTCGCTAAATATACAAAAATCGTTCTATCCACAGAAAGCCTTAAGCCTTGCCCTCGATAATCTCCTTGTGTGTACCTGGAACAGGTGCACCGTTGGTCTTGTTCTTCTCCTCATACTTCGCGCTGATGCCAGTCATACCGTTGGCAACCTTGTTGTCCTTGGACTTGGCCATGCCATTGTGAGTTCCGTTGAATCGAAGGTTGGCGATACCGGGGTAGCCCTGGACACCAGTGGCCTTCTCCAGGCGCGAAGCGATGTCCTCAGACACTTCCCTGAAGATGGCGATCTGGCGCTTGATAATCTCCTTGTTGGAGACAGTCGACATGTGGCCAGAGATGTTGTTGATCCAGCGGTCCTTGGCAGCATCGTCAAAGACCTTCTCCCACAATGTGCGTGGTGCGTTGAAGTCCTCTGGGCGGATCTCAGACAGGAAGGTGATCGCCTCCCCGGTGAAGTTGCCGTGGAGCTTGTCAAGGTCGACGGTACGCTCCTTGAAGCTGATGGGCTGAATGCTGCTGAGATAGTTGGGTCTCGATCCTTGGTTGTAGAACGCCATGTTGCCATCTCGCTGGAAGTTACCCATGCGGTATGCGACACGTGGAGAGTTGACCGGCAATTGTTGGTAGTTGGCACCGATGCGGTGGCGGTGGGTGTCGGGGTAGGAGAACAGGCGGGACTGGAGGAGGGGGTCCGCGCTGGGCTCGATACCTGGTACCAAATGTGCGGGGTTGAACGCGACTTGCTCGACCTCAGCGAAGTAGTTCTGCACGTTCTCGTTCAAGAAGAACTCGCCGACCTTGCGGAGCGGGAACTGGCTCTGGGGCCAGACGTGTGTCATGTCGAACACGTTGATCTTCTGCTTCTCCCAGACCTCCTCAGCCTCCTTCGCGGTCATGGTCTGGAACATGACGTCCCAGCCAGGGAAGTCACCCTTCTCGATGGACTGGTAAAGGTCCTTGGTCGAGTAGTCAGGGCCGTAGTTGAAGGAATCTTCTTGTGTGATGAAGGCAGTGCCCTGCTTGCTCTTGAAGTGCAACTGGCAGTATACCCAGTCGCCATTCTTGTTCTGAAGCTTGTGGGTGTGGCCGTGGTATCCATGCATCTTGCGGTAACCATCGGGGATACCACGGTCACCGAAGAGGATCATGAACTGATGCGCAGACTCTGGGTTTTGCGAGGCAAAGTCCCAGAAGGCAGTAGCATCATCCGCGTGGGTAAGGTGGGTTGCGGGGTCGCGTTTTTGAGTATGCTGTATTGAACTTTAGCGTCTGTTTTGGGCCTTACTATCACGAAGGGACTTACGATGAAGTGAGGGAACTTGGCGGGATCCCTAATGAAGAAGACAGGAGTGTTGTTCGCAACTACATCCCAGTTGCCTTCGTCGGTACGGAACTTGACACTGAAACCCCTAGGGTCACGGGCGCAGTCGTGCGAGCCAGACTCGCCACCAACCGTCGAGAATCGGACGGTGACGGGGCAAGATTTGCCTTGCTTGAAGATGTCTGCCATGCACAAGTCCTCAAGCGATTCTGTGGTTGTGTAGGTACCATGGGCACCAGCACCCTTGGCGTGAACAACTCGCTCTGGGATACGCTCACGGTCGAAATGTGATAGAAGGTCGACGAGGTGGTGGTCTTGGAGCAGCAGAGGGCCGTTCTCGCCTACTCTTTGGCTCTCGTATGGGTGAGGGTATGGGACGCCGTTGGATGTGGTGTAGATGACATCCTCTGATGAGGCGTTGCGGTCGTCGGCATAGCTGCGGAACTGGTCGCCATTCTTTGAGCCAGTGGGAGCATGCTGAGTGCTGCCATTCTGGTTGTCGTTGGTTGCGCTTGGAGCCATGATTACGATTTCTTGGGAATCGATATGTGAAGAGAGATGTTTGTGTAATTAAGCTTTCGTCAGAGGCGCCGAAGAATCTTCTTATATGGGATACTGATAACGCCTCCAGCCGCTTCGCATAAATCCCATGTTGAAAACGCATCATCATCGGACTAGCTAGGCGTAGTACGCTCCATGACGCTTAGAGGGTGTCAATCTAGGCCTACATGTCAACCGGTGCGGGTTAGGTTAGAGCTCCCGTGGCTTGATAGCAAATCGGGAGAAGTGCGACGTCAAAGGTGGTGGCGACCTCGAGGGCGGTGACAATGCCTTGATAGTGATTGGCCCATCTCACTGCTATGATGTGCCTCGTTCTATCTCTTCACGATCTGCAGATGTAGATGTAAGCGGCTTCCAGACGCAAGCCATTACCAATGGGAAGGTATCTGTAACAAAGCGCGCGAACTGTGACGCGCTGTGGAGTCGAAAGAGCGTGTGGAGCCAATTGGAATTCCCTGTTGCCGTTCGGCCCTTTTCTCACGGAATGACATCACTGACACCAAAACCCGTGCACGTGGGCCGCGTTTCCCATGCCAATACTGGGGAATATCGGCAATCGAATTGCGAAACCTTAACGTGTATTTAGAAATGCACGTGTATTTCTGACGAGGCGAGGTAGTGTTCTTTTTCAAGTCGCCACTATAGTCACTGCCCAGATGAGCCTCATTTGCGCACGGAAGCGGTCACCGGGGCGATCTGCCACACTTGGGCACAGTGCGCCCACAGACCCGCATCGCAGCGCGCAACAACCGCTGTCGTCCGAACCTACTCAGAGTGTTATGCGAACGCATCCGACAAGTTCGAGGTGACGTAAATGCTTCCTGGTCCTTTCATATCCTTTAACTTCACAATGATCTCATCTTGTCGCAGTATCGAGCAAAGTTCTTATCAAAACCTTCGCGGTCGGTCCTTCGTCGTTCGCTGGACACTTCCGTGTGCGAAAAACTTCCGCGCACCTGTCTTTTTGGGATAGGTGCCATGCGAAATAAAGAACAACACCCGTTTCAGCTACAGTCTGCTGACTTCTTTGGAGAATGCCATGCCGCTACCCCACAGTTCTCCAGCGCTCGGCTGTTCTCGTTCCACGAGTATGCACCTCCGGTATTAAACACTATCGATAAGCCTCATAATCCTGGTCCATCTGGGGCTACGGCTAATATATCTCCCATTTTCCATTGGTGCAGTTGACGAGTTTCATATCAGAACGCTTCTTTTGCACCCATCAGTGCCGGAGGCTAGGTGATTTTCTTCCTGCGCTTTACCCTTCTGTCCATGTGGTCATGAGTTGTTTGAGTTCTGAGCGCCCAGAGGGCGGTGTTGCAAATGCGTATATACAGCAGCGGTGCGGCAGGGACGTGGTCTCATCTACGACCTCTTACATTACCGCAATAACCGCACAGTCCAAGTAAGCCTCGAGAGATACCTGCAGCGCGAGCTTTTACGTGGTATCCTTGCAACTGTCAAATACTACCGAGATGTTTGTAACGCCTGTCATCGTTAGTAGCCATGTGTGAGTGTTTATGTTGACGTTCAATGTCGCAATTGCTTACTTGTCTAGCCTGGATCCTTCTGCTATATATGGCTCCAAGCGAGGCAGCGTAGTTCGCAATGAGCTTTCGCAAAGACACAGTATAGCTTCTTCCGACGCATCCTTTGGCGGTCTCCATCGGACGTCTTCCACCAGTTCCAACGCATCAGTCTCTACTGCAGCCTCTTCCACTCCTTCAATCAACAACCAAAATCGCCGTCCTAAGCATCGCAAGACCATTTCGAACAGCTCAATAGCCCGGCTCTTCTTACAGAGGAACAAACCCCAGGAAGTTTCCCCAAAGCAAGCCGAAGCATTGCCCACTTCATCTCCCGTAACGCCTACTCCATCTTCACCTATGGCCGTTGCTACCTCAACTTCACCACCTGCTGCGGATTGGCAGTGCTCTGATCTTGTGGTACGATCTAAGCAGGATGTCTACCACGTCGATAGGTCAATCATGTGCTATCATTCGCGGTGGTTTTCGAAAGTCTGCGCAGTTGTCATGTCGCCAGTATGTTCAGTCAATTCACTAGTCTCGATCGCACTGACACAAGCAGAAATCACCGAAAGGCATCATTGATCTTAGCGCTGACAACCCAGCAGCCGTCGCCGCCATGATGCAGTACTGTTACCAACTGGATTACACGGAACAATTAGCTGGCTCAGATCTTGACGTACCCGAGGAGGTCACTCTGCGCTCTCATGTTGACGTATATATGCTTGCAGAGCGATACGGGATAGCCGGGTTGAAGGCACTCGCACTCCAGAAATTCGAGGACCTCGCGGCAATTGTTCTGGTAGTCGATGGCCAGGAAGAGCAGTTACTGCATGCAATTCGTGCTATATACGCACCTGAGCGAACGGCCAATGCAGAGAGTCTCAAGAGCGTGGCGATTAAGCTCTGCGCCGACCATGTGCAAGCTTTCATACATGGTACGGGTAGAACCATGGCGCTTGTATACGAGTCAATGGATGAGCTACCGGACTTCAGAGCGGACCTGTTCGACGAGATGGCAACGCGCTGGAAATAGTGTACGACCGGTAGCGACTCTCTCAGTAACAGTGAAAGAAGCCGAGCCAGTATCCCGCTTTCGACAGCTAGGCAAGCGCGCTACCAGTGTTGACTAGCTCCGATATTACGTGGGCCTACACTTTTCACTTCTCACTCGGAGATGCGTCCACTGTCCTCAATTCACTGGCCCAACAATAGAGTGTAAGGATTCGACAAACGCTCACGTTCACCACCGAACCGGGGTGATTACTATCAAATCTCTCACTCACGACGACGCGGTCACCTCGTTTCTCACGCACTCCACTTTCCATGGGTGTATAAATACCGAAAATCTCTTCGGAGAGGATCTCCATCCTACCTATCCTCCACAGGCGACTCGATCTGACGGCAGTCAATATTGACAGCACGTCGACATGAACCAGCAAGATCGCAAACGTGCTTTCGGCAATGCTTTCCAAGGTGCCTCAAATCTCTCGAGTCATCCGCATCGCAAGGCCCTCCGCAGTGTCGTCGCCTCGTCTCCTGCTTCGACACCACAAATCTTCTACGCGCCTACATTCTCGTTCGGTTCCGACAAAGAGAACGAGGCACTATATCTGCCGGCCCAGGACAAGTTTGCCAAGCCCTTCGATGGCTACCGACATTGTCTTCAGCTTCCTCCACGTACCTCATCTCTTCGTGGTCTATCGGAGCTGCCTGTCGCCGGCCATGGCTTTGAACAAACCTATATCACCCCCCGCATGGATATAGATCAAGGCTCGAGTTCACCGCTGGATCAGGTCTTGGGTGCTTATTCCAACGAGCCCGGCCCCATCGTCTTCGAGGACCCAGTCGGAGGCGTGGGTCCGCTGACTCCGAGTGCGCTTCACTTCCAGACTCTTTCACTGCTAGACCCGCCTCGCAGGTATCGGCCAGATCTGACGTCGCAGTCCGCTGTCGATATCAATGCTGCCCGTACCAGTGTCTTCACCATGCAGTCGAGCGATCTTCAATAGTAAGCAAACACCATATACAAAGCATGTGAGAACAAACAATACTAACATAACGAAGCTGTTTCTCCGAGATCCAGAGGGACGACGTCATGATCTCTTTCGACAAGGGCAAGCAAGTCATGAAGCTTAACAAGTACCTCTTGTGTACAGAGTCTCGTTTCTTTGCACCGATGCTCGACGGTCCATCCCTTGTGAGTATTCATTCCGCACTCAGCATATTCTAGAATGCTAACAACACCAAAGGAAGGTCAAACACGCTGCATCCGCGTCCGCGACGACTTCCCCTACGCCATCGCAGCCATGATCCAGTACATTCAAGACGGAATCTACATCTTCAACCCCAACATGCGCCTGGAGTACGAGAACATCACCCTTCTGGACCTCCACGTGCACGCGTACGTTGTCGGAAACAAATACGACGTCGCCAAGCTATGCGACCACGCTATCGGAGAGTACATCAACATCGTCGGAATGGTCCTCAGCATGGGCCTGCCTTCTGGTGGAGACCCAACCGACTTCTCCCACAGTGCCGCCGATTTCGATCACAAGCATGTTGACGCTGACCCCGTCTCGTCGGTTCTCAACTCTTTCCTTGATTCTCTGGTTCTCGTCTGGCGCAACACTATAGATGGGAACGATATGTTACGCCAGGCTATTCTCGAGCTGCTGAAGCCTCACATAAACCAACTCATGCGCTTGAAGTTCTTCCAGACGCTGATGATGGACTTGACGGGCTTTGGTAGTGATCTCATTGGTAGCCTAGCGGAGGATGGGTTCGACGTTCAGACTTGGCCTGTGATAGGCGGCGTGCAGCAGAGGGTGAGGGTCCAGTTTGATACCGCCATCTAGGTGGTATCACGCGGTGACAGTGGCGAGTTGTAGCTGAGGATGGCTCAATACATGCGGCATGAGGTCTAGCAGGTACCTACATGGCTTTATAGCGATCAGAAGTGCGAAACATGATAAACATTGGCCTCACACAAGCATGTCACACTTCTTTTCCTTAGGTCGATGACTTCGCAACCTAATCAACTGATCCTAGCGAAGACGCACAGCCGTTACACATTGAAGTCTCAGCATCCAATCTCTGAAATTACCCGACCCATGCAAACCAATGGAAAACATAACTATCTCACTACGGTAATGACACCTAAAGACACCCAGTACAGTACCATATCACCTCGTATCCCTCTTCCCCCCTCCCAACCCCCTCGTATGCCTCCCCGCCAAAACAGTCTGCCACTCCGGACTAACTAACATCTCCGGCTCCTGCCAAACCCCGAGACCAGTCCTCCGAGACCTCCCCCCGACCGGCTCGAATGACCCATGCCCATCCCACTGCTCATACCTCCACTTGTGCGACTTGATCGGCCCATGCTAGTGCCAGTGGTCATGCCACTGTGTCTGCCACCGTGTCCCATGGATGTTCCAGTTGTACCAGGTCCAGCCACACTGCCGCTCCGTCGACTATGTTTTGTTCCCGTACCGCTAATGTCGTGTCTGCTAGGGGGATGGTCGACGTAGGATGTTCCTCTGCCGTCGAAGCGGCGGGGGCGGGAGGATGCGCAGCCCATGTTAGGTTCGTGGTGTGTGGAGTTGAGCGCTAGATTAGGAGGAAGAGTTCTTCTCTATTCAGTCGGTATCGGTTAGGTCGTGCTCGTTGACAAGAGCGCCCTTGTAGGAGAATTCAGTGTTGAATTACGAGTGCGTGTGCTTGGTGTGATGTGCCTGATGGAAGTAGGTGGAAGCTTCAAATTGAGCTGGTCTTGAGTAAGTGGTAGATTATAATAGTGGTATGTCGTCGCATTTACTACGCGGACTGTGGAGTCCTTATAGATATTGGGAGTCCATTCTCCCATGTCTATACCTTTGTTTATGGTAGTATCGACGTCAGAGCTAGTGTCCATTGACCATATGACATACGCCAGGAACTTGATTTCAAGACACATGATCCTTGACTTGCTGCACTCCGCAGATTGCAGCCCCTCTTGCTTGTGTTTGTGGCATAGTCTGGGGAAACCGCGAGGCTTGGCGCGTTGAATGTGTGGCTCAAGCGTGCTGTGATTGGCCGGCACGGGCCGAGTGTGGCTCGTGAGTGTGGCGCCAATATACGCGACGCGTGTCCCTCTCTCGCGATAGCGATATCTGGTGTTGAAATCTTGAACCTGTTCGAGGAGCTTGGGGCATTACTTTTACTCCAACACATCCAGATTCCGGAGGAATCCTCGGCAAAGCAACAGAAAATGTCCAAAGGTTGAGACTCAATATTGGGATAGCAGAAAAGCCTCCTGTCGAACAGATTCGATACTCATGATATTAGATCATCTACAGTATGTAAGACCCTCCCACATACCCATGCTGTCGTCGCTGTAAGGCTAGGCGCAGAACAGTTGCGAGAGGGTCAGTCAATCTTCGCGATCCGAGTGAGCTCGATCGACCATGGAGCGCAGGACGAGATCTCAAAGAAGATGGCGTGTCATATGGAGGTTTATATCTTTATAAACTTCGTGTGTGATCCAGTGGCTACAATTGGACCTGGCTTGCCATCGACAAGCTTCCAGATGGTCGCTGTGGTGAAAGCGAGGGTTCCGCCAACCTTTCCTGCCTTGCCCTCAATTTCAATGGTGTCACCATCCTTAGCCCCGCTCAAATACGAGATGTGAATGTCTGTCGACACTCCTGCCTTGCTCCGGTTATCCCAAGCTGCGATAGCGATGCCACCAACCCAGTCTATCAGGGTCGCGGAGACAGAGCCATGGATGCTTCCGTGCGTGTTCACGTGGTTCTTGGTAAGCGGCAGCTGCGCGCGCACGACGCCTTTGGAGGCATAGGTCAGCTTTATGTCGTCGAGCAGGAACTGGTAGATGGGGCTGCTAGGCTTGCGGCCCTCCCAGAACTGCTGGACATGAGCGAGGATCTCGGGGTCGTTGGCTGCGTCGCTGGACATGGCTGGTGCGGATGCGGGAGATGTGACGCGTGGAAGTGTGAAGATCAGAATGACGGGGCAGTTGAAAATAGCGATGCAACGCGCGGCGGGGTCGGCGATACTATTCAGCGGCCGCCCTGCGATCAACAAGCGGCAGCTGTGAAACGGCCAGTACGCCAGTGTCAGCGGCCGGGGACGCCACATAGCCAGTCTGTCGCACCGGACCATGCTTCACTGCAGGCCACGACTTCCTCACGTACTCCAGACCCCAATGTTCGCCTACATACAGCCACCATGAGCGACCCCATAGCACCACCCCCGAGCCCGCCCCCCTCAGCACTCGATCACGAACATGACTCGCTCGGCGATAGCACCGCCGTGACGCCGGAGGCACCAAAGGCGGAGGCAGGCGCGCCTCCATTCGACCTCAAGGCCCTCACTGATCGCACCTTACACTTCTTGGCGACTGCCAGCAATGAGACGCTCGGCGCCTGTCTCGCTGGCCTCGGCGCAGGCACATATCTCATTCTCGGCCGCGTCGGGTTGGTGCTCATAGGCGTGGTAGGCGGCGTAGTCCTCCACGCGACGTGGGAGGGGCACCATGGCGACAGCAAGGAGACACAGGGAAAGAGCGCCGACGCGCGGAAGCGAGAGCTGGCCGTCGATATCGCCCAGCGCGTCCTCGATTGGCGGAACGACAAGACACCAGACAAGGGCAAGTCCGGAGACGACGGCTACGACTTCAATGTGCAGCTGTACTCTGGCAAGACGCTCGACTACTCAGACTTCAAGCCCGAGACTGCCGCTGCGCTGACGGAGTTGACGGATGCAGTCATTCGTGACTATGTCAAGTATGTCCTCCGCGCAGTGCCTAGATACTGTTCTAATGCAACGCAGGTGGTGGTACTCACCCCTACTGCCTTCCGAAGACACTTTCCCGAACTCGTGCCGCCAGACTCTGACCGCCTTCGTGCTTTCCATATCTGCACACCTCTCCCGAAAGCGACCAGCCGACAATTTCCTTGACTTCGTGACGCGCTCATCCTCCTTCATGATCATACTCCTGCAGGAGATCGCCGCCGCAATCCAAGCGTCCCCCGGTGATGTGCCAACCGAAGCGGTCGATATATATCTCAAGATGAAGCGGGATAGCACCCTAGCGAACATCCTCGACCCAGATTACCAGATGAAGCAGTTCAGTGTGGCTGCTGAAGATATTCTACAGAACTATCTTGAGCCGAAGACCTGTAAGCGACTCCCATATACAATTCATGCACGTACGCTAATCGCACCTCTCATAGACAACTGCGTGCCGGCACGGCTATTCCTGCATCAAATCCTCGCGAAACTTATACTTGAGATGATCGTCGTGAGCTGCTCCAAGCCAGAGTGGATCAACGGGTGGATTGTATATCTCCTGGAAGAGGGCGAGCCCGAGCTTCTCAATGCTATTGACGCAGGCGTTGAGGGCTCGTCTGAACAATTACAAGGTGTCAAGGAGAACGCGGAGAGCGAGTTAGGTGGTGCAGGAACGGCAACCCCCGCTGAAAAGAGGGAGCACAAGCGTGTGATGAGCAAGGCGCAAGAAGCTATGGACGATGCGATGCGAGAAGCGCAGCTCCTGAGCCAGATGATCGCCGAGGAAGACGCAAAGCGACTGAAGGAGCAACAAAAGCAAAGCGCGTCTACATCGACCCTGAACGATGACCAGTCCGAGAGCACCACCCAGGGCATAGTTACTCCCTCGTCTTCTGAGGGCGAAGCGCATGGCGATGTTGAGCACTCAGACTTGGCTATCTCAGGTCTCTCTGGCCGGTCCTTCTCAGAGACCACACCAGCATCTCCACCAAGAAGTTCCGAAGACCCACCAGGTCAGGAAGTCAAGAAGGCTTTTACAAGCTTTGATCAGCTTGTAATGCCCCAACCGCCTACTGCGCTCATGGACAACGCACCCGCGGAAAGACCACCACCGTTAACCCTGCACAACAGCACAATGTCCATCTTTGATGACAGCATGCCTGGAGAAAAGGGCACTATCAAGGCCAAACCCACAGCAGAGTATCTGATTCAGATCGAGCCAAAGTCCAACCATCACACCGGGTGGATGACAGCACGCAAGTACGCCGAGTTCGAGACATTACACGAAGTCATACGTCGGATAGCAGCTATCACCGGAACTTCTGGCTTCAACGAAGCACATGCTACACTGCCACCGTGGAAAGGTCACACCAAGGCGTCTTTGCGTGGAGAGCTGGAGCGCTACCTCAACGATGCTGTCAAGTACCAACCACTTGCTGAAAGTGAAGGGATGAAGCGCTTCTTAGACAAAGAATTGGGTTCAGGAAAGACACCTAGTGGTGGCTTTCCAGGGATTGGATGGGCTGGCCAGACCTTCGACTCAGTGGGTAAAGGGATGATGGGCGTACTTTCAAAAGCACCCAAGGAAGTTGCTGGCGGTGGCAAAGCTCTTTTCGGTGGAGTTACAGGCGTACTAGGCAGCGTAGCATCACCACTGGGAGGAAAGAAGAATCGCGAATCGATCAGCAACGCCGCCACTCCGAACGCATCCGGAAGTCCTCTAAGCCGTACATCGTCTAACACGGCGTCAATCCAAACGCGACAGAGTAGAGCCGAGTCGACGGTCTCCGAACTACCCACGCATATTCGATCGCCGAGCACGTTATCGCTAGTGACCAAACGCACATCAATGGACTCTGTGCGCGATCCTCACTCACCCGTCATCGACCAGCAGCCAGGACGTGAGGCGCCCATGGAACGTCGTCCATCGTACAACCCTGACGGGGACGGCAAGCGTTCGGGGAGGTCTTCCAGATATGGCTCCCGAAGTAACAGTCGCGCACCAAGCATGCGCGAGAAGATCGAAGATCTCAGCCCCATGATGGGAGGTGATCAACTAATCAATCTACCGCCAATGCCTAGCGAGATCTCCGACGACTATAGCACTATGCGCAATCAACCAGAACCAACCCCACCTCAGAAACCTTCGCGGCCATCAACAGACTCCGTGCCCTCACTACCCCGTCGACCCTCGGCCACATCGCTAACCTCATCTCCGGCCAAACCCTTGTCGAGGCCACGCGCAGCAACCACCCACACGCCACTATCCGAGCCCGAAACCACCGTTCTCATTGAGCTCTTCTTCGCCGTCATAAACGAACTCTACACTCTCTCCTCCGCCTGGACCCTCCGTCGCACCCTCCTCAACGCCGCGAAATCCTTCCTCTTACGCCCAGGAAACCCACAACTCTCCTCCATCACATCGCTCCTTCAGACCACCGTGCTTGACGGGAACGCGTCCGACGCCGGCCTAGCCTATCACATCAGAAAGATCCGCGAGAACGGCCTGCCAACCGAAGAAGAACTCAAAGGATGGCCAAAAGAGATGAGCGATGAAGAGAAAGAGAAGTTGAGGGTCAAAGCGAGGAAGTTGCTTGTGGAGAATGGTATGCCGCAAGCGCTTACGAGTGTCATGGGTCAGGCTGCTAGTGGAGAGGCGTTGGGTAAGGTGTTTGATTGTCTGCAGGAGCCTAGGGTTGCGAGGGGAGTTATGTTTGGGTTGACATTGCAAGGACTAAGGGCTATCACGCAGTAATGCTATATGTAACGGTGTTTAGGCGTTGGAAGAGATGGGCGTTGGTTTCATGTTGTATCGACTATTGAGTGCCTGCTTGTACGCTGCCGATTATGATAATGACACCGGAGGGCCGGCAGTGTGTCATCTCCGTAGCGAGTTCAGAGAGCACCAACTTCTTCATCTCCAGCACCCTCGCCTTCATCAGCTTCTTCCTCATTCGCGCCGGTCTTGTCGGTGGCGTCGCTGTTGATGATCCCTCTTCATCTTCGATGTCTAACATATCTTCGTCATTAGAACGCCCACAGCCAGGTCGCTATGAGCTGCCACCATGGCCTGCATTTCCGCCTTGTGCATTAGGACCATATTGTCAGAAATGGTATCGATAACTATCGACCTCAAGCCGGTGTCCTCGGGAAGGGTCGAAGAAAAGACATGATCGATGGCGAGGGCGAAAGATTCCACGTCCCAAAACCCATAGCGAGCGACGTTGAAGTACTTGACTGCTAGCTCTTTGAGGCCAGTGACATCGTACTTGTCAGCGATTGCATACATCTTCGAGTGCTTAAGAAGCTGGGGTCCTCCAAGACGCCCGACGAAGCAGCATTCATCGCAGATGAAGGCCTTGCAAGCCAAACCGCAGCTATCGAGTTCGCAGCGATGATGGGGACACAATGCCGTCCACTCGTCACATTTCTCTGTGCAAGTATGCGGGAAATCATACGTATATGGGTCACTCTTGGCATCCCAACCCTCAGACCGATGAATTTCGATGTTGGAGGGCGTGATCGGGCTCGTATGCTCATTCCTCGGGGTTGTAGAGGAGTCGGCCTTGTACCTACCCGTGTAAAGGTACTCGATGAGAGAGGCGATTACTTTCGGTTCGTCCTCGGGGAGATCAATGACATCGGTCTGCGCTTCCTGTTTGTCGTCAGATTCACTTCTTGCCAGACCTCGGGAATCTACCATGCATACCTTGCCACCAAACTTGAGAGCTCCAGTGAAGAAGGCTACTTGCTTGCACACGATGATCTTGTGAACTCTGTGGATGTCGGCTCCGCATTTGATGGTCAGGTCTGTGTATTCGCCGGATGTGAAACAGCTGTGATAGTGGTCAGCTTTGGGCTTTACGTATGAGCTTGAGGCACTTGCCTTTGGACCGCATCCACAATCTGAAGGCGCGGATTCTCTGCCATTTTCGGGTATCGCGGCGCTGGGCGCTGTGGTTCGAGATGTGTTGAGTGCACAAGCAAGACGCTCGATTTGCAGGTGGTGAGCTACCGGAGCGGACGCACTCTTCGGGTCTCGCTTAGGAAGATCATTCCGACGTGAAGGTGAAAGTGAAGGTGAGGCGCGAGCGCAAACCACAACACCTCGGTATCCTCCTGGGTCTGCAATGAACAAAGCGCAGTCATACATTCCAGCCACGTAGTTTGCAAAGAGAAGCTTCGTTATGCTAGACAGCGGTGATGGCTACGACCAATATAATCAAAAAATGTGCTGCGCTTGCCGCATACAAGACTGAGAACATCGCAATTATGTGAGACGGGTACCTATATATTCTGCAACGCATCCTTCAGATGGTGTCAGTTTCTAGATACAGTGTTCGTGATCCAGACGCGAGAGCCGGTGACGTACATCTCGATGCTCTCTTGTAGTTACGTTGCTTGACTTTGGAAAGGGTAAGACCCACTGTGAGCGAACTTGGCGATATAATATCACGTGTTCAGATTGGAAGCTTCTGCGTGAGCAGTATGCGGAGAAGAAAGCCGGGCTAAGAATGCAGGGTAAGATGGGGTGCGCAGGGGCTGTGCTGATGAAAGGAAGGCGCCGAAGGCAGGCACTGAAGGAGTGTTTCCCGCGAACTTCGGGTAGACATGTAGGATTAGCGCAGAATTGTAAATGCTGCAAAAGCGATTGGATATCGGAAAGTGCTCGACTACTTCACGGCACCATAAGTTTGTGCACCCCGGTAACCAGCCGAAGTTTACCCGGCTACCTCAAGACTTTGGTTAGTCCCTGCGTGATACAGATCAGAAACGCTTTGTATGGCTAGAGCAATCACTGAGCCATGTTTAGAGAGCATGGTGGAGTCGGAATTTCGACCACATCTGGACCACGGTACTGAAATCCCATGGAATTTACGTATTCGCCCATTAGTATATAACACCCTGCTTCTGCTGTTCCTCTTAGCTTTCTTCCCATCACGCAAACATCTTACATCCAAAGCCAAAACAATTCAAGGATACCACAAACCATCCACTACTACCAAACCAAAACCAAACAACACACCAACCAAAAGCCTCCCCACCACAACCAACAAGATGTATTTCAACACCATCATCATCTCCCTCTTCATCACCCTGGGACTCAGCCTCCCTATGTTCCCCAACCCCCGCCCATACATCCCAAGCGGCATGGGGACTCTCCCCCTCATCACCACCAGCGACTTCATTGTCGCACGGGCAAACGACAACGATGCCGATGACGAAGTTGTCATCCCCGACAAATGGAGGCACACTCACGGCAAACTGTTTGAAGAGACAGAGGCAGAGAAGGTGGTGGTTCAGAAGAGGGATTTAGGGGACTGCAAGGAGGGTATGTGGGGTTGTTAGGGAGTTGAGGCTATTGGAAGCCGGGGATGTCAGGAATGTGGGAAGTATACTGAAAGTATACTGCAAAACCCTAATCAGCCTGGAGCCTACGTTGACGTTGGGTCACCTCCTTTGCATGGTTTCATCTCGATGTATGCTGCAGACCTATTTTGACTTTTCGTTGTTCAGTGTGATCTGGTAGCGAGATTTCAATACCACACATGATACACACGCGCCCCGTACAATATGTGTCCTCATGCCTTCGCCTTCTCCGCATTTAACTTGTCGTTGATAGGCTGGAGCATGTTCGTCATGAACTGCTCATCCAGGTCTTGTCCCGAGCCCACACCTTTCGGCGGCTCCACACCCCATTCCGGGATAAGCCTCGTCCCGCCAAGAGTAATTTCTAGTACACTGCCACATGGGTACTCTTTCTTCTGTAGCAGATCCAACAAAGACGTCGCGCATGCGTCTGGCGTCAGTGCTTTATCTGTAGTCACGGAGTATTGCTTGAGTTTCGCAGCGTCGAACAACGGTGTCGCCACGGCACCGGGACAGAGAGTGGTAATCTTGACGCCTGTGAGTGACTCAGACGCCCCGAGAGACTTGACGAAGCCCACGACAGCGTGTTTTGTTGCACAGTAGAGCGGAGCTGCTAGGTTGCCTGAAATGCCGGCCACGGACGCCTATTCTCGTGTTAGACGTGCTACCATTGACTACGTGACGGCCCTTCGAGTCGACCATGATATGTTGGTATGACTTACGATGATACAAACACTAGCCCTTTTGCCCTTCCCCAGACTCTTCCTGATAGCCAATCTCGTTAATTTGATTGGATGGTTCACGTTGACCTCCACCTGCTTGTACCCTTGGTCTTCGGGGTCTTGCCAGAAGTTTGAAAACGGTGGGTCGAACAGTCCCGCGCAGATGGCGTATGCATCGGGAACGTCGTTCCATTGCTTTTCACATGCTTCGAAGAGCTTATCGAAGTCGGCCCATCGCGTTACGTCAGATTGCACGTAGAGGATGTTTGACTTGTTGGCAGCAAAGGTATCGAAATCGGATGTGGTCTTGAGGTCCGCGACGAGGATGCGTGCGCCGAGATCATGTGCTTGTTTTGTCACACAAAGGCCAATTCCTATTCATGTTAGATATCTGCCTTCCCGTCATTGGGGTTGGTATGAGTACCAGATGCGCCTCCTGTGATGAGGAGTATCTTGCCGTTTAGCGGCTGATCGATGGACGTCATTTTGGTTTCACACTTCACCATCGTGTTGGTTTCCCGCAGTTGATAACTGTTTATCGGGATTTCCCAGGAGCTGAAGTGCTCTGATAGTTAACGTTGCGACTCTACCTAGGTATTATGCGGCAGTCGGATAATAGCTTCCGCAGCCTCGACCGAACATCGCCGTTCCTTTAAATGAGGGGCTACGGGTAACAGAACGCCCCATGGCGGGCGCTACGGCTAGCCGTACGTGAGAAGGCCCTTTTGTTCATGTGTTGTCTGGAAGCTAAGGTCGTGCCTGCGATTGGTGATTGATTGTAAAGCGCAGTGGAGGGGTGGAGCGTCATCCTTAACGTTCTACAGGGCCATGGCGGGGCGTACAGTGCAAAAAGTAAACCGGTGACGTGGTCTGCAGCGACAGGTACAATAGTGAGCGTCGCATCAGTAGTTCAAAGTGGTCGGTCGCGAAAGAGCACATTGAATCGCGCAAACGGTACATTTGTGGTAGATGCCGATCAGGGTTCCTGCAGGCAGTGATGCGTCATCGACACGGCCCGCGGGCATCCTCATACCAGCCACCCGTGGACGCCAGCCACATTCGCGACAACTCAAGCAACATCAACCATGTCGACCGAAGAATTCATACGCATCACTGTTTTTGCGAACCGCAATGCTAAACTTTCTGAAGATGAGTTCAACGACCATTGGGCGAACAAACATGGTCCTCTCATCACATCATGGCTGCAGCGTCACGGCATCATCAAATACGTTCAAGTTAGCTTGCCCATCTCCTCTCCCTACTTGCGCAGTCCCTCGTAATCTTTACGCTGCGCAATTTGTCTAACAATACTGATCATTCCAAGTATCATACTACATCTAGATACAAAGCGCGCCTAAGCATGCCTACTCTTTCGTACGACGGCATGGCGGACTTCTGGGTGCGGAAGTACGAAGATTTCGAAAAGGCTTACGAAGATCCTTTTTACTTGGAGGTAGTGAAGAAAGATGAAGAGTACCTGTTCGATACTGAGAGTCTGCGTGTTACGGCTGGTGTGGATATCTGCGTTATCGAAGGTGGAAAGGTAGTGCAAGAGCACGTCCATAAATTCTAAATTACCTAGTTGCGTAGGCGTACAAAGAGAGGCCACATCCAGATGAGAATATCTGAAAGGCTGAGATGCAGATTGGTTCCATCACCTCTATTCCATGGTACTGCGATGGCCCACAGACGGCGAGCCAACCACACCTGCCACATTTCATACGATTCGAACGCACAAAGACGCTTTCCCAAGAGGAATGTCGCAAATTCTGCTGGGCACGCTGTCCTACAAGGGCGAGGCAGAAGTCTGAATCCCCTGCTTCATCTACCACTCACTACCTCCCGTACACGTAGAGCCTTCATTTCGCGTATACGAACAGACACCGATAGACCTGGTCTCACGATTTCTACCCATTCGGGCTCTTACATTCATTTCTCTTTGCACTGTAAGTCAAACCTCTGATACGAAGACCTTTCCTAACAGTACAGAAAACCGCAAACATGCCCGTCGTCCTCATCCCCTTCTCAGTAGCCAGCAGTCGATTTGGCATGAACGTCACGTACGATGCAGCGACTTTCCAACTAGACACGGTGACCTTTCCCGATCTTCAGGGCTCAACCATTACTGCAACCCCGTCTTCCAGTACTTCGCACTCAGATCTTCAGACTTGGGCTGAGGTAGTGAGACATGGCGTGCTACCCGGGTCGAAGAAGGGTAGGTCGTTATGGGATGCAAGGAACCACGAGCTATGCTTACGATATTCAGTGCCCAGATACATTAAAGGCGAGCCGTGGACTCCAGTGAGCGACGCAGTCGCAGACGCCCACGAAACCCCTGCCATCAAGCCGAAGTTTCACGGATTCCTTGAATTGCCTACTGAACTCCGCCTCGAGATCTGGAAACTTGCCCTCGATGTCGATACGAACGTGATGGAAGTGCGCAAGGCAGTCAGGAGGGGCAATAACCCTGCTCGACCCGTGTTTCTTCCCAAGTTCTGCTATACATCGCGACGAACCTTCGACGAGACAGTTGCCACCGTCATCGAGAATTCACAGATGATGATTTGCTCATACGCCGATAACCAGTTTGCACGCGCGTTTCTGACCGTAGAGCCAAGCCGCTTTGACCTCGTTCGTCACTTGGACTTCAGATTCTTCAGCCGCTTCAAGGAAGAGTTCGGTGTGAACGCTGATCTAGAACTTGCTTTCGAATGCAAGGGTCTGCGTACCATCAAGCTTAACTTCCACTGCAGCGATCTGATCAGACTGGAAATCGAGGATGGCTACGACTACTACGAAGACGATTTCACCCGTTACCCTGCCGAGGGTGAGGAGCTGTTCAACAAATACAAGCTTGCTCGGATATTGGACTTCGACGCGCTCAACGCAGTCATCATTGAGCACTCAGGGTGTTACTGTCGAATGGCCGTGGAAGCGGCCGAGGGCTTGGGGAGAATCATAGAACAGAAGTTCGCAGGCAAAGTCCCGAAGCAGATCGTAAAGCTTGCCTACACTCGTCAGCCGACCAGACTTCGTGAAAACAACACTTTTGGATGGAGTGTATAAAGTACACAGATAGGAAATCGAGCGGGACAAGAAGAGCATTGAATGACTGGAGTGGACAAGAGAGTATCACGGAAGGTCTCGTGCGGTACGTAGAGCTCACGGACAGTGCGCCTGAATTAGCCCTTTGCAATTGATCAGCCTAGATTTTGATGGTCAAGTCTCTAATCTTCTGGCGATGCATTCTATGGAACTTCAAATCTTGTTTGGTCTGCCTCACCGGGTGCTGTGGGCCATGCACAAGACACAACCCCATCACCATATCTTCTTATAGCCACCGTCCACTGAGCATGTGTGTCTGTGACGACAAGAAGGCGGCTGTGAAGTCGTCACGCTCGCTAATCTTCCGCCTTTGTAGATGTTTCGCTGAATTTCGTAACCGGTAAAGTTTGACAATTCCTTGGGACTCTGTTGTTCGAAACCGCCATATTCTAGGTTGCTGAAGGGTGGTAGAAAAGTTCCTCTTTCGTTCGGTCGCGGAAACTCGTTACCGGAGACGAAGTAAGGCCTTGCGTCGGTGTCGTGTTCAAGACAGTGGCCCGCCATCTTGTCGAGAAGTCTTCCCATCAGAACGTGCGTTTATTACAGGCGGCGACTGTGCTGTGCCGTCTCGTGAATTAGCTCAGAGGTGCCCTGGAGAGCACAGGCTCAAAGTCCGGCCCGTCGTTGCTGCTGGGTCAGTCTTCGCACCGTGCCACATCGCACTTTGTCGATGAAGGCTGTAAGTAGTGTTAAAATCTTGTTCACACAGAGGTCTCATCCATCACCGTGCCGCCTTTCCGCTCTCCGCTCCAGGAAGAATAGCATGCTTGGCGTGTAGCAATATTCCACCACAACGCCACCACCAGATGTGGCCGGTTAAATGTGTGATCCGCTATCGAGTGAGCTGCGCAGTCCCGGCCGACCGGGGCCCCGTCTTTGTCAGGGCAAGGCTTGGTATCAGGTCTCTAAGCGCCATCAATCACGACATGAGTGTACAACGCGAGTAGAGGACCGGGGTGGGGCGTTCTGCGATGGAAAGAGGGGCCCCACTAGCCCATTCGCTTGCGCATGAACAATATACTGTCGACTCCAACAGCTCGGCGCGTGGAACTCTCTACAGATGTATGCCTCCCAGGAAATTGAATGTGTCGCATCAGTACGAGCACCGACCTCGCAATTGATTACTCCCATGGCTGCCGCCGGTGCATGCCGCCAAGGCTGCACGTGGCCTGCAACATAGCTCCGACGTGCACCTGGACACCGTCCCGCCTCGTCGCTTGCGCGTATGCACAGCGCGGCTTCCCCCCTAACCATTTGCACACCCTATCCGCATGCGTACATCGAAGCCGTCTGAGCCTTATCGACGTCTGCCAATGCGAAAAACCATGAAACGACTTCGTCAGTACAATTGTTTTGCAAAGTCCAGTCACCGAGCTCCAGATCCGGCGCGCAGGCCCATTTATCCATCTTGGCTGGTCCTGGCATCGCATGGTAAGCTTGACCTACCGTGAGCGGACTCTTGGTTGGTTCGTCCAAGCCTTGAGTGCAGAACACCAAGAGGCATACCGGATGCTAAGCAAAATTATCCGCGGGACGAGTCGCCTGTTCAGATGGGGATCCAGAGTTATCGAGGCGTCTTACAATCAAGCCCGGGAGCGTCTCAAGCCTCAACGCTGGGTACAGCGGAATAGCAACAGAATCGGGGAACGCATGGCTTGATGGCGAAAATCACTCGGCAGATCGGCTTCGACATCTCATGATGGAGGAGTCTATCATCTGATGAGTTGAAGCAGACCGAGGCATAGAACCACCAGACCTCGCCAGCAGGCGCTTTTGCGCATGTCGCGTCTCCAAAACGCAACATGCTTTTGTCCTATCTGGCTATCACGAAGTTAATATCAAGGCGCTTTCGAGGGCCAATGAATGACAGCAACCCGTGTCTGGGTCTATTGTCAAATGTGGTCACACGTTCTAGCGCCACCAGGTTATAGACTTCTGGAAGGCAGCCGAACACCCCATGGGGAGACAGCAATTTGCATCGGACGTTGGATACCTCCGTTGGCGTCCAATGCCTAGATATGACAAGACGGGACTTCTCTGTTCTTGTAAGTCTAGTCCCACGGCGCTACGGGCCTGGTGCCAACAGATCGCTCGGTGGAGATTTCTTGGTATCATCTTACTGGTCCCTCCCACCGTTGCTGTCAGGCAGTCTTCCTGCAAAGTGCGGTACCCATGTCCGTCAACCCGCGGTGGAACAAGCATGGGAGTATCTCCCATCCGGGGTGTGGGGTCGCTTGCAGTGGAGGTGGATCGAATATAAGTACTCGACGCCGGACGAGGGTCATTCTCAACCCCAAGGGATTTCGCCCATCAGTAGCACAGTCTACTCGTCCTGAACTTCGGTCAATCTTTCACTTAACAGTTCCATCGTTCTTTATTCAAGATGGTCGGTATGCACGTCGGAGCCGCCAAGGGCAACAGTGCCGTCCGCGAGGATGTGCCTGAGTTCGAGAAGGTCATTTGGTACAAGGACCCAAACATGCGAAAGCTGTTCTGGCACTCGTCGGTCCTTTGCATTGCCTCCGCCACTACTGGTTATGACGGGTGAGTGGAGTTTCCAGTAATGCAGCGGGATTTGCTGACCATCTTCAGCATGATGATGAACTCTTCGCAGCAGATGAGCAGATGGCAGGACTACTTTGATGAGCCTACCGGTAACCGCCTGGGTCTCATGAACAACATGTACAACATCGGTTCAATCGTCAGCTTCTTCCTCGTTCCCTTCCTGACCCAGTGGACCGGACGTAAGATTCCAATCGCCGTCGGCTGCTCCATCATGATTGCTGGTGCCCTTGTCTCGACCTTCTCTACGAACTGGCAGATCTACATGGGTGGCCGTTTCATTCTTGGTTTCGGTAACTCTTTCGCCCAGATGTGCTCGCCTATTCTTCTTACCGAGATCTGCCATCCTCAGCACCGTGGTATCTTCACTGCCGTATACAACTGTCTCTGGAACTTGGGTGCTCTTTTCGTCGCATGGATCGCATGGGGTACATCTCAGGCGGACAACCACTGGTCTTGGAGGTCCATCACTCTGCTTCAGGCTCTGCCTTCATTCCTCCAACTCTGCTTCCTTTGGTGGGTTCCTGAGAGTAAGTCAAACACCACACTGCATAACGAATATACGCTGACATTGCTTTCCAGGCCCACGTTGGTTGATCTCCAAGGAGCGCTACGAAGAGGCCCTAGACACTCTCGCCTACTACCATGCCGGAGGTGACCGTAACAACGCCACAGTTCAGTTCGAATACGTCGAGATGAGGGAGGTCATTCGTCTGGAAGCCGATGCCAACAAGAACTCCAGCTACGTCGATTTTGTCAAGACCAAGGGTAACCGATGGAGGTTGGCCATTCTCATCTCTCTCGGTATCATCTCCCAGTACTCTGGCAACGCGCTCTTCTCCAACTACATCAACTTGGTCTACGAGGGTGCTGGTATTACCAGCGAGAACCAGAAGATGGGTGTAAGTATCGCTGAATTGTGGCATGAAAACACTCACTAACATTTGGATTAGCTTACCGGTGGTGAACGTATCTTGGCTCTCTGTGTGTCCGTCTACGCAGCTACCCTGATCGACAAGGTTGGTCGTCGCCCGCTCTTCCTCGGCGCAACCACTGGTATGGTCGTCTCATTCGTCTGCTGGACCATCACCTGCGCCATCTATGAGAACTCCGGCGACACCAACTCCGCAGCCGGTTACGCTCAGATTCCTTTCGTCTGGATCTTCGGTGTTTTCTACGCTTTCGCCTGGTCTGGTCTACTCGTTGCCTACGCTCTCGAGATTCTGCCTTACGCTCTCCGTGCTAAGGGTCTCATGATCATGAACATCACTGTGCAGGCTATCCTCGCCGTTGGTGGTCAGACGAACCCCGTCGCATGGGACAACCTTCCCAAGCACTGGAACTTGGCTCTCTTCTACACTCTCTGGATCACCGTCGAGCTTGTCTTTGTCTACTTCGTCTACCCCGAGACCAAGGTACGTACATGTCTAGTCTACTTGGATAACATTGCTAATTCGTACAATAGGGACCTACACTTGAGGAGATTGCCCGTATCTTCGACGGCCCTGCCGCTGTGGCTCCTGTGGACATGGACGCCATCGCCAGACAAGCTGCTAAGGAGCGCCTCAACAACTTCGGTGATGAGAAGGAGCCCCATGTCGAGCAGAGCCACGTTGTTTAGAGTACTGGACTTCACTCATTAGTAGTTCATGTCGCATGAATAGGAGAGGTTAGGCTTCGTAGTTTTGGCATTCGCTATCCCTAGAGCAGTCTTTGCTTCAATATACCCACTGCTTTGGTACACACTGTCTGATTCATTCTTGCTGTCCTAAAACATTCGCGCAGGACCTTCGGCGCTGACCTCGGGATCTCCCACGAAAGGCACGTGTTAGCGCGGTGGCCAAGACGCCAAGCCATGCTAATTTGATGTTCACCCCGCAATCATTTGAGCGATTTCCGCAGTCCGTCTCATCTCTTCTCAACCCGTCTTGGCATCCAACATTGAAGAGCCCTTCCGTGTCTGGCGCGTGAGCAAATTATCGTTCAGCTTCATCAACCACCCTGATCCTTCTTTATCCAGATAGCGACCCGAATCACACCACGTTCATCTCGGTCGGTCATGTTACCATCTTACTGACTTCAAACATTCCATCACTGGAGTTCCTCGGGAGCATGTCCGGACGCGACGTGCATAAGACGGCAGTTATAAATCTACGAATCGGAGAACCAGGGCGTTGACGCCGTATGCATCTTCGTCGCGCAGTATCGCGCCACATCGCAAGGGATGTGAGTTTGCAGAAATCGTAGAGCTAGTTACCCACCTCGCGGCTCGCACAATCTAGCTGATGCCTATTGCGCCTGATGACTGCATCAGTTTCCTTCAAAGAAGTGATCGTTTACACCAACTCAGTATCCAAATTTCGCCCATCATATACGCCTGGTCGCTGAGCCTGAAAGACTCAGCATGACCGACCCGCAGGTTGTCGGACGATGGCATTGCAAGCTCAGAAGCTACTCACCTGCCTTGTGTCCTCAGACAAATTTAACTCCATAGTCTCACTCGATGTACATCACATCCAGCTTCACAACGTACATGTCGAAGTAGAAGCTGTGAAAGGATATACTGTGCAAGTTGGGTGGAACCCGGCTAGGAACGCCAGCAGTCGGCATCAATACCAACGTGGACACTCTTTGTAAGCATATCGCGTTGGCTGGCTTAAATAGCTTGACAAGGCGTAAGTTCACGGCTGCATCTGCGACAACCTTCGCGACGTCGCCCTTTTCATCGTGTCTCCATACGGTCATTCGCCCCACACTAGCTCATTCCCTCTACTCGTCAATTCAGAATAACTAGACCAGTAACCAGATGGGATGACTTGTCTCGAGCCCGATTTACGGTGCAAAGACTCAGGCTGTCTTCTTAGGCTGAAGTTGTCTCCCAGTGAAAGCAGCGCTGGAGCGATCGTTTGAAACAACAGCTGCAGTTGTCTCACTCTTAATGAGACTGCAGATGATCGTCACTGGATTGTACTGGAATGCGCGCATTTACAAGCCTTTCTGCGAACTCTCATTTGCTTTGCTCAAAGCTTGGCCAGCAACACCAAGTAGATCAACATGCTCGTCAGCAATACGCCCGGGAATTCAGGCAGATGGCGAAAGAATTCACGGTCTTGGTGTGGAAGCTGACGATGTGATACTAGCCGCCGACAGCACATATAAAAGGCTTGCGTGTGTACTAGTCTGACTACCAGAGCCATCTGGACCGAAACCTCGCCAACAACCACTTCGAATACCTCGTCCCACTGTCGCCGAACTCTTCTTGTCAACATGAGATACTTTACTACCGCCGCGACTGTTCTCGGTCTTCTCTTCTCTGCCACCGCGGTTGCTACTCCAAAGCCCATTATCAACACCGACCTCCTCCCTCGTGACATGTCTGCCATGCCCCGTGGTATTACGTCCCTTCTAACCAGGGATGCTATGATGGAGCCTCGTGCCCTTCAAAAGCGCGCTACCTGCTTCACGGCCTGCAACTCGGGCTGTGGATCATGCGGCAGTATGGGCTGTCTCAGCGGCTGCCAGATCAATTGGTACGTTGGGCTACTACTCGGCATTCAGTCCGTTACGTATACACTTGGCATTCGCTGAAGACACTGAACAGCTCCATCTGCTGCGAGATCCACAATGGCAACTGTACTGACTGCGGAACTCAGTATGAGTGTGACCAGGAGTAACTCAGGGGTGAACTGGCTGTGGTCCGAAGGAGAGGTCTTGTTGAGATCGTTGATTATTGGTATGCGATGGAGGACATCTTGCTAAATACGCTCGTTACTGAATCATGAATATCATCATACCTAGGTAGGAGAGAACAACTCGGCTCTTTCCAGTGCGCTGCTCACTCTGATTGCTTCTTGCTCAGCATACTTCCTTGCAACCTTGGAAAGAATTTTCAAGTGAACTACTACATCAGCTTCTGATCGAGCTCTCCGGCCCTCACATGTGCAAACTCATGTCAGTAAAGACACCTGCGCCGAATGCGACAAAGCGCCCGGCTAAGCGAACCTCGGCAGACCCACATAGTCCTTCCTTGCTTGCTTCCGCATCCCCAATTCCATTGTCTTCGCATCAAACCAGCACCTCAAGGCCATCAACAAAGCAGTACAAGAGGCTTTGATGATATTTGTCGAAATGGAGATTCGATTCCACTTGAGCGCAGACTTGCGCAATCTGTTTCGCAAATCCTCATACAATCCCCCGTAACGTTCCACGGCACCCAGCACATTCTACATGCAATGGCGAACGCTCGGCGCCCTCGAGTAGAAGACAACATAAACGGTTTTGACACATACTTCAGCATAGATGCCGATGATGCAGCACTCTATGATGGATTTACCAACGACAGGACGAGGAACGCGTTCCTTTCGTTTATGCGGAAGGTCATCGCTAACCGGAGAAAAGACCTTCGCGGAAGAAACACAGGGGGAAGTATCGACAGGCTGTGGACCGCAAGGAGGAACCATTGGCTGGGCAAGATAGATAACGGCCGACAACCTGCGGCAACGGCAGTTGCGCCAGGCGCTGTTGCTCCAGCCCTTCCACCAGCCCTTCCACCAGCCCTTCCACCAGCCCTTCCACCAGCCCTTCCACCAGCCCTTCCACCAGCCGCTCCTCCTAACCCAGCGCCTCCAGTAGTAGCAGTAGCAGTACCAACTGGATTACAGCAGCCTGACAACAACGATGATGCGTCAGTGGCGTCATCGGAAGCCTCGAGCGGTGAGCGGTCGCCTACCTTTTTCCTTCAGAATGACCCTGCACGCAAACACTTCGTGGGCCCTACGGCAGGCCAGAGAAAAGACTTCTACAGTCATGACGACGGTCGTTGGAAGTTTGCAATGACTTTGCACCAGACTCGGCTCGACGATGGCAAACGGCATTTCAGCCAGGGATCAATGCCTCGCAAGTCCGTATGCTTATGTGTTCGAACCAACAGTACTGGTGAGATTGAAGAGGTGAGTCAAATACAAAAAGCACATTCAGATGGCTCTTCTAAACTAGTCTTAGAGCATTACAGTGAAATGTCTAGAGGCAATAACAGACGCAGAAAGGCAAGCTGCAGAACATGAGATCTTTATGAACAAGAGAATTAGTAGCCTCCACTGTTCTCACATGATCGCGTATCATGGCAGTAGCCACCGGAAATGCACTAAGAGATTCCGCAATCGCCCTGATGATCAAGTTTCAGAGCAAGACCTGTATAACATATACACGTCGTTCGCCGATCTTGGGACCCTTGCACGCGTCCATCGTGGACATGCAAATACTCCGCAAAAAGCTGTACCCGAGCACTTCATTTGGTACTTTCTTAGCCAAGCGACCGACGCACTACTAGCTCTGCAGCATGGTACCTGTTTATCACCGAATGCAGAACCCCAGAGTCAAGGCGAGAAGTGGCGGCCAATTGTGCACTCCGACATCAAAGATGCCAACGTATTCCTACGGTCCAATAACGATGGGTACCCTGCATATCCAAATGTCGTTGTATCTGATTTTGATGTTGCTTTTGAGCAAGACGATCCGCGAGATGTTGACAACAGACGGTATCAGGGCACTCCTGGAATGCAGCCACCAGTAAGTATTGAAGAATTCATCACGACGGAGGCATTGCTCATATATAATCAGGAACGAGAAAACAGCACGCAAATTAAACACGACTGGAAACCGGCTTACTGGGACGTTTCGGAAAAATCGGATGTCTGGAGCCTGGCTATGACAGCCTGGGCGCTGATGGTGGCTCACAAAGAGTCTGAAGAAACCTTCTACAAACGAGCCAGAGAAAGAACCGATGGTTGGTATTCCAATGAAAAACTAAGGGAAGGAAACGTCGGCAAAGATGGCGTTTTCCCAACAGCGTTGGAAGATCTTCCCAAAGAATACAGCGTGCGTCTCTGTAAGCTCGTCTCGTCCTGTCTACGATATCATCCCAAGAGACGTCCGACTCTAGATCGTCTGCGACAGGATATCGATAACAACCTCTCCAAGTTGGACAGAATGTACGGCGACGAGATACACAAGCCCGGAGACGCTATCGCTAAGGACTTTAAACTCGAATTTAGCAAAGATGACAGCGACGAGTGGGCGCTGTATGCTCCTGGCAAGGAACATATGTCGTTCCGAAAACGTCGGAAGCGAGCAAATACTGGCGCTCTTGATGGGAAGTTAACTGACTTAGTTGCTTCTTGGAAATCCAAGACCAGAGATGCTCAATCGAGTGCAGTGGCCCAAGGTCACGTACTAGATCTCGTCGACGGCGTCGTCAACAGCTCACCGGACGATGAGGTTAAAGCGCTACGAGAACACGAACCTCATCTGATCGCTTGGCGCTTCCTCTTTTCAAGTATGCGCAAACGTACTTCCTCTGAAGCCAGCGTCTACAACACTACGCAGAACACCGAGGAAGTTCTACGTGAAACTTTCCAGAGCGACACCAAAAGGGCAGTACTTGCGAAGCTTCGTGATACGATCGTTCCCATCGCTATCCGGACCGCTGAGTCAGACGCACAGGAGGGCGCTGATGATACCACTGATATCAAGAGTTTCGACACATTAAAACACGCGATAGAATGGGGAGTGGTGCTTTTGGATATCGGTGGAGAGCCCGGAACTCCGAGGTTGCGTGAGAAGACGGAGATGCATCGTGGCATGCTTGATTTCCTCTTTGATCAACCATTTGACCTGTTCTCACCGGGGAAGTCAGGCGCAGATGAGGCAGATGCCGATGATTCAGACTTTTCTAAGTCATGATAGCTATGTTCGCGTCCGCTCGGATCGTTTGTAGCTAGTGGTGCGGCGATGCTGAGGATGCGTCTTCCTCTCCTTTGTTGAGCGCCATACGTAGCATTAACAAAGCTTTGAACACTGACCCGCCACTGGATTCGCCAGATCATATAGCGATTGCTGTCTTCAGACATGCGGTCGAGTGGGGACAGAATTTGCTGCGAGCGAAGGGTGAACTAAAACTGTCTTTGCGAGATCGTACTTTGTTACATAAAGGTGTACACAATTACATCTTCCCCGATTCGGAGCTGCTGAAAAGACTCAGAGGGTAGATTTATGGGGTTGTTTGCTAAGTAGGAGTGTCGTGATTATGTTGGAGTGGGCACCCTCTTGTCGTATGTGCTCAAACCGATGCGCTACACTGATCGATCACGCTGGTCAGTATGCAGCTGGTGTCGCATATCTTTTACCATGGGGTTGTTGGAGAAGCGCGATTTTGTAATGCCGCCCACAACCACCAGACGCCTGAGGCTGACAAAACGGTTACAAAATAAAGACATCATCATACGATGGCTGTAGAAACGAGCATAGGGCGAGTTTTGAGCAAAGAACCTGCATCACCTGCGTAGAGTGACGAGTCGTGATGCCCGTCTTACCAAAAAACGCAAAAAATCCCAAACCTTCACCACACCTCTACACTCTCCCCCATCTAGGGCGCTGTACAGCAGCGCAAAAAGATGGACTTGCAGGGAATCGAACCCTGGACCACTCCCATGCTAAGGGAGTATTATACCACTAAACCACAAGCCCGGTTTTGCTCTTTTGCCAAGAGGACCGCCGAATTCACCGTCGCCCAAACGGGCGATGAGCGGTGATCGGTGATCGATGATTGATGAAAAGTCGCCAAATTGTAACGTTTATATTGTTATTTTGCGGCTCGACGCCTTGGGTGAGCGAGGCCTGATAAAAATTCGTGTTACGGGCCGGTGACATTTTACCCCCACTGAATCGACTTAGCCGTTCTCGTCGAAAACACCATGCAAGTTTGTGGGGCTGACTCGCGAAATATGCCGCCAGTCAAAGCTGATCTTTCATTGGGATACATAATTCACGCGAATGTTTCACTCGTTCTCTTCATCACTAATAGGGTAGCTTCTTATCGCTTTGCTAAGAACATGTACAATTATTTGCATACAAGAGAAGCTCATAGTGCCCCTGGGACACATCACATTAAGTGGCAGGTAGGCTCATTGCAGAGGTTCAACGTCCAGATATTGGTAGGTTGGAGGTGAAAGATACAACGCCTTCGCAAGAGAAGGCCTTCCTACCCTCCTTGCATCCAGGTTTGCTGTATACGGCCACATCCTGGCGCTCCGTAATTCATAGCGACGTATCATTAGTGCCTGATAGTTGGTTGATTTTAGTGTTGGTATTGAACCTAAGAAATCCTTCCACAACTGTGCAGAATGAGTACCTAGGTGAAAGTCAACACCGGAGCGTTATGCAAAAATACTATCAATAAGATACGATAGACATAGTGCTCGAAGCTGGCTTCAGCACTCCGACGATACAGGACCTCGGGAAGGTTGAGATAGGATCTTTCAGGTGCTCACGGCCGGCTGCAAAAGAGAACATCCTCGATACCTAGGTACAGCTGTCTTATGCGTACGAAGCAAAGTCTCCACTGAAAGCCTACGCTATACTTACAATTCACTAACACACAGGACATTAACACCTTTGTGTACACCGTGGTCGTGTAGTTGAACATGTGTTCGTAGGAGCCGAGTACCGCGCTAACCGCTTACGACGACATCTTGGCAGTCGCGCGGTCCCAACGCGCCAAAGATTCCAGACATCAACCAACCCCAGCTTTCGCGCCCGCTGCATCACCACCCAAACCGACCCGACCGACGCGGCAATCCCGTCGCAGTATCTCCGCCATCATGTACGGCATGAACCAAGCCTACCATGCCCCCGACCCGAGTGCGCAGGTGCCGAATCACCTCCTTCCCCATGTGCACCTGATATCCTCGTACCGCTTTCCTACTCTCCCGGGCCTCCAAGCTCCGCAAGCCCTCGAGTACCTCATCAAAGGCCCCCAAATCGTGCGCGACACGTCCCCCGTCGCGTGGACCTACCTCGCAGCCCCTCCCCAAGATGGCACTGTCATCCTCACATGGCAGCCCCCGCGCATGGGCACCATGTTCGCCTCGGACGGCATGGTGTGGGCTGATGCTGAGACCGCATACGATATGAACGTACGCGGATACGTATGTATACCAAGGCGTCATTTGCGCGCAATGCCTAACACCCTATAGACTCTCCAAGTCCTCGTCCACAACAGTGGCTACCACTACCCCGGCGAACCATATGCCGTGCACGCGCGCCATCGCTATCGAATCGCCGCAGGTCCTGGAAACATCGATCCCAATCTCTGGCTTGTGCATTACAAGCCCGCAGATCCACAAAGCAGAATGCCCGCCGCCCAAATACCCGTCCCACGAGAGGTCCAGGCCCAGTTCCAGATGCGCGCTCAACTTCAGCAAGCCGGACCGTTGATGCGCAAGGAATTCATGCTGGTCGATCAGGCGAATTGGCCAAAAGTCGAGTTTGGACACCAGGCGATGAGAGGGCCTCAGCCACAGGGCTACAACCCCATGTACCCAGGCAGGCAATATCCTGCACAACCTCCGCCAGCCAAACGCCAGCGCTTGCCGACACAACCTCAACCCCGTCAACCCGCTGCAGGCGTGCTAGCGCCGGACAACACTCTCGAAGAGGAGGAGAACGCGACACAAGATGCTTTCGATTTCCTCACTCCGCGCGAGATCAGCTTGTCGCGCTACAAGCAGCATCACGAGTGGATGGAGGAGATCTTCTCATCACCGTACGCTGTTGGAAAGATCGCGCCGATTGATCTAGGCCTAGGCCTCATGGGAGAGCTTGCTCCTCTTACTGCTGGCATCTTGGACGTCCCAGGAGCTGAGAATGTGGAGCCAGGAAAGGACAACTACCAAATCAAAAACTACTACAAGCTGGACGCAGACCAACTCAAGGACTTCGAGAAGCGTGTAGCAGAGTACACGAAGAACGAGCAGGCTGAGATTGACAAGATGAAGGCCGAGCACGCGAAGAAGGTGGCACAGTTGAAGCGCACCAGGACCTACATCAAAGCCGAACGCCGACTACGAGATCTATCTCGCTCCACCGAGAGCGACGGTGATGACGCAAACCCGGTCGAAGGAGTTGTACAAGATTTGGAGAAGTCGCTGGGTGTTAAGTTTGATGAGAAGAAGGCGGTTGTCTGTGTAGACAAGGGTGGTTTTATTGAAGTACAACAGCCCTCCCCTCCAAAAGCGCAGATGAACGGCAACGGAGCCCAACAGCAAGCGAACGGCACATCGAATGGCATGAACAACCAGGGCTCAATGGAAGATAACTCTGCCGCGAACCTCTTGGATCAATATGGGTCGGGATCACTTTCTGGCACACCTATCGGCAACATGTCCTTGCCTAGACTATCGCAACCACCAAGTCAATCACAGTCCGCCACCGGTACACCCAATGTACCACACGGCAACATGAACCAGTCGTCGGCATTCGATCAACAGGATACAAGCCTTGATGTAGGAGCCGATCTTTTGGATCTGGATGTAGAAATGTCCGGCATGGCGGGTGCAGGAGACAAGACTGATGACTGGACGATGAACGACCAGTCAGGCAATGCCCAACAGCCAGCCGGCGGTGTCCAGCAGCCAAACATGAGCAACAACCAGCGCCCGAACAACGTCGGCGGGATGCCTCAATCCAACATCGACGCTGATGCAGGCAGCATGTTCGACACCGCCGACTTTGGAAGCTTCGACAACATTGATAGTGCTGGAGACGCTCTGGCCGACTATGGACACGATGACAACCTGGGCTTGGACCTTGTCGATGATTCGGCGTTCGGCGATGCTTTTCACGGGACTGAAATGCATCACGACGAGACTGGTGAGGGTGACCACGCATAGTCTGCGTACGCGAATATGGATTTGAACCTGGACTAGCCAGTGTCCTGGTGTGTTGAGTACTATTCTAGTGGCTGTACTATTACGTTTTGTATGACTTGGAGTCGACGGCGTCTCTTTGCATATCCATGGCTTACTATCAGCCTGAAAGTTTTCATATACACAATTCTAGAGGCGATATTCTCTTGCTAAGTTTGCAACTCAGTTTATGGCTGAAGCCACACCGAAACTTGAATAGGAAGGTGCAACGTTGTGTTTGGCCAATGTGGTCTGGGTCGTCAGCAATGTGTCGCAACATGGCGGTGTTGAGGTCACGACTAGCGTGGTGTACAGCTAACCCGCAGCCATCTAACGCCGCATTAACAGACTAGGTGGATAGGTCTGGTTTGGCTATTCATTTGCGAGCATGTTGCAGAGATTCTAATCGCGAAGCCGCTTGCTATATATGCCGTGTATCATAAACAGCATGAGTGCATGCCCGATGTTCTGATCATTGATGCGGTGCCTTCTCATTCCCACACCGAGCTTGTCTTATTGTAAACTGCCATGTATTAGTACCCAATCCACGAGATTACATACTATGTTTAGCACTTCGTGTGCTTCTTGAGCATATACCAATCGGCCGTTTCGCCACGACTCTGTCCTTACGCGTCGAGTACTACACAGGCTTGATCACCAGTGTAAGCATCTCGCGCTTAGCTACATATGCACGATAAAGAATAAGCTGATGAGGAGCATGTGCAACATTTATACTGCTGATGTAGAATCAGCCCATAGCTGTTTTCGCTGTGCCATTTCAGGAAGCCCGTCTTTTGCTCATCTCAAATCCCTCAGAACTTGATGCTGTTCTCTCGCTAGAGCGTCCGCGCTCTCGACAACTCGCTTTGCTTCTTGCGTTAGCCAATACTTAGTGACTTTCAGGATGCTCACTAGAGCGCTCTGGTTGTTGACTTTCGTTTGCATCTTTTGTACCCCAACGTACTCGACTGCCGTGCCAAGGAAAAGTAGAAGAACCCG